CAGGCGCCGGGTCGTGTTACCCTCCGGCCGACGCTGGCGGTCGCCCGCCGCCGTCCCGGAGTCCGACCTAGGCGCGCCGGCTCCGAGGGGGGCGGGGGGCGCGGGGGAGGGGGCTCGGACCCTGGAGCGTGGTCTCCGCCGCCCGCGGGGGTTCAGCCAGCGCTGCGCTGCGGGCGCCCCACTTCGCGGTTTGGACGCGGGTGTTGGGTGCGGGGTGACCTCTCGACGTCCGTGGAGTTCGGGGATGAAGAGCTGTTCCTTCCCGCGGGGCCTTCGGGTCGGCGCGCCGGGCCGCCTGATGCTCCGCTTGGAGGCCGTCGCCGGGCGGCCCGAGCCGCGGGGCTTCTGCGCGCCCCGATTCGCCACACGAAACTGAATGTTAACTGCCTCGCTGCACCCCCTGCCCCCAACAATACAGGACGCGCCAGTCATGACTTGTACCTTCCAGGACCTGCCGTCGGCCGGCGTGGCTAGAACCGCTAGGCTCCCCGAGCTGTGCTGCACGCCTGGGAGCGCCCGTGCGAAGCCGGAGACGCAGGGCGTGCCCGGGCCGTGCGAGCCCGTCGGTGACCAGACATTCCCGCCCAGACACGAGTCGTGCAAGTCCTGAGAGATCGACGTGCAATGGGCTCTCTAATCTAGTTGTTGCTGCTTGTATGTGCTCATGTATGTTTCTTCTACACGAGTTTCAACTTCAGTTGAACTCAAAACAGGTACCTAAATCGGGTGCAAATACGTGCTAGAAAACTCCAATTCAATTGGAGTAATTAATGGTAACGAGTATGTTTATTGTAGGATTGTCTGAGGGACTCCTCACTTGTATCTTAGCAGCATAAAAGTCTACTATAATCCAGTGTGTTTACTTCATTTGTTTTGAGAAAACAGCCCTTTATTTGTTTATTTAATAATAATAGATGTTGTACAAAGGCATCTATTGACAAGAAAAGGTATTTATGATATATTCTTTTTAAAAATATTTTTATTGATTTCAGAGAGGAAGAGAGAGAGAGAAACATCAATGATGAGAGGGCATCATTAATCAGCTGCCGCCTGCACGCCTTCTACTGGGGATGGAGCCTGTAACTGGGCATGTGCCCTGACCAGGAATTGAACCGGCGACCCTTTGGTGCATGAGACGGTGCTCAACCAACTGAACCACACTGGCCAGGGCTCAGGGACCTTGTCTCATCAGCTGTTCTTTCTTTCTCACTCCTTGATGTTTCCATCAGCCTCAGTCCCATCTTTTAAAAACACCCTAAAATCTAAACTCTCCTTTAATTCTTTGTTCCTTTCCCTTCCCTACCAAGCTCCTTGAACCAATAATTGACTTTCGGGGCCTCTGCCTTCTTGCTGCCTTTTCAGCATTGGATGCATCAGGTGTCGACACTCCTGGCAAGCTTCTTCTAGTGTCAACAGTGACTACTAGTTAAACCTAATGAGCACTGGAAATTCATTCGTTTGACCCAGCATTTGATCATTTCATCTCTTGGACTCAAAGGCACCATTTTATCTTCATTTTTCTCCAAAACTCTAATAGCAACCTCCGCTCTGGGGGCTCCTCCTTTCATGCCGGCCCCTCTCCCAGGGTATAGTCTCCCGGGGGTTACATATGTATATCACATGCCGAAGCCTTCCTGGTTTCTGTCTCTGGCCCTCACCTCTCTCTCCTGGCCCCCCAGGCTACAGGTGTGACGCTAGCCAGGTATTTCCTCAGATGGGCACTGCAATTGCAGTGTGTCTGTGACCCAGAATTATTGTAGGATTCCAGGTAATGCCTCTGGTTCTATCCTCTTTCCCATCCTCCCATGACCTCTGCCTCAGTTCATGCCTTCACTGCCTCTTGCCTGGACCACTATGTTCTCTCTTAACTGGTTTCCCTGCTTCCAGTTCCTCCCAGAACAAATTTATCCTCCAAAATAGATTTTTTAAAACAGATTGGATCATGTCACTACTCGTGCTTAAAAGCTCTTGCTCAGTGGTTAGAGCGTTGGCCCGGGCCCTAATGGGTCCCAGGTTTGATTCCCAGTCAAGGGCACCTATCTGGGTTGTGGGTTTGCTTTCTGCCCTGGTTGGGGGGAGGAAGGGACACACACATGCGGGAGGCAACCCATTGATGTGTCTCTCACATCGAGGTTTTCCCTCTCCCTCCCTCCCTCCCTCCCTCCTACTTTCTCTGAAAAGCAATGAGGGAAAATACCCTCAGGTGAGGATCAGCAACAACAAATTCTCACATGGTTTCCCATCATTTTCTAGAAAACGCCTATAATACAGAGCAGACAGGCTTTGGTCCCCCAACCCCCTTGCTGCCACTGCCCTCCAGGACTTGTGGACCAGCCAGGCCAGTCACTGCTGACCGCAGTCCTGATCCTGTCACTCATCCTTCCACCCCAGCAGGCATGGTCGTCTCCCCGCTCCAGGCTCCCCCCAGCCTGGGTGCCTCCGCAGGGCGACTTCTCAGGTACTTGACACTGAGGTACCTGCTACAGAATAGTGTAACCACTACTATTCACAGCTTTTTTAAAATTTAAAAATGTCACACATACAGAAATGAAAGAGTACTATGATGAATACCCGGATACTGTGCGCCTAGAGTCAATAAGGCACAACATTAGCATAATCCTTAACTTCTCTCTCACACACCTTTTATTCTCTTCATTAACAATTCCTTTAAGCTCTTCTTTCAGAATATACCCAGTATCCAAATACCCCTCGCCACCTCCTCTGCTATGGCCCCTGATCCAAGCCGGGTCAGAGATGAGCCTCCTCAGGCTGCCTGCTCTCTCCTGGCTCCCTACTGTCTGTTCTCACCCGGACACCAGCATGGTTCCCTCTCCTGCAGAGGAGAGCTGATGTCCTCCATGACAGTCAGCCTGGCTACCACCGCCTCCTGCTCCCCTCACTGCCCTGGCCTCCAAGGCCTCCCCGTGGTTTCTGACAGAACAGGCACCGGCCATCCAGGGCTTCTGCATGGAAGGCCCCGCACCTCCCAGGGAAACCCTCCCTCACTCACCTCGTCAAAGCTGTGAACTACTCCGCCTCCCCCGCCCCTCTAGCCTCTTTCCAGGTTTATTTCTCTCCAGAGCACGGCCGTTATCACCACTTGATACACTGTGTATCTTTCACTTCTTTATCTGTGTTACGGTCTCTGAGCTCCGCAAGCACAGGGACTCCCAGTTGAGCCTCCCGCCCTGGGACGGGCTCCTGGCACAGCGCAGGGCGGAACCGGTTTCTGCGGAGAGGGAGCCTGGGAGCCGGGAGAGAAAAGCCCGCCCACACACCGCCCCGGGCCACGCCTACACCCACAGGCCACGCCCACGTGGGCGGGGCCTCTTCCGGAAGCGGCCCCGCGGCGGAAGCCAGGCTGGGTGGCCTAGGCCCGCCTCCCGGGCGGCCCCAGGCTCTGGCCCCGCCCACTCGAAAGTGGGTGAAAGGTCGGCGGAGCCGGAGCTGCGACTGGGGCGGTGCAGCGAGGCGGCAGGGAACGTCCTGACGGACAGACGGACCATGACGGACCAGGCGAAGCCCATCAGTCCGCTGAAGAACCTGCTGGCCGGCGGCTTCGGAGGCATGTGCCTGGTGTTTGTGGGGCACCCGCTGGACACGGTCAAGGTGCGAGGAGGCGGGGGCGCGGGCGGGAGCGGAGGCCGGTGCGGGGCGCGGAGAGCAGGGTCCCTCGCGAGCGCTGCCCGGGACGGGAAGGGGCCGTGGGAGCTCCCGGGAGAAGTCTCGGGAATCTCCCTGTCGCCCCTTTAGGGTTCGGGGGAGCAGCTCCTCGTGCGCGGCCGGGTCGCGGGGTGCGGGCTCCGCCGGCCGCCCGGGCTGGGCTTCGAAGCGCTCGGTCCCGCAGCCTCCCTGACCTTGCGCCGCTGCCCCGGGGCCGGGCAAGGCCAGCGCCTCCCCGGAGTCCGATTCCAGCAAACGCTCCTCATCCGCCCGAGCCGGCTAAGCCGCCGCGGGGAGTGAGCTAATGCGGAGGCACCGCCCGCCGGCGGCTGGGGGTTGAGCGTCGACCTATGAACCTGGAGGTCAGGGTTCGATTCCGCTCAGAGCACAGGCCCGGGTGGTGGGCTCATCCCCAGCAGGGGGCGTGCAGGGGGCAGCCGATCCATGATTCTCCTTGGTGTTTCTATCTCTCACTCCCTCTCCCTTCCTCTCTGAAATCAATAAAAATATATATATATATTTTTTAAAAAGACAGAGGCACGGTCATTCCGTAGATGCCGTTGGACACACTGCTCTGGGCAGAGTGCCCCCTTGCTATCTCCTTCCACCTTTCCCTTCCCGAGGGGGCGGTGGCCACCTGCAGCCTGTCCCCAGGTTGGCCGAGTGGCCCCTGCGGGAGCGATCATGTCCTCAGTGGCCGAGCCCCCGCCAAGGAGGGGACGGCTGCCCAGGGCCAGGCCTGTGTTCACGGTGCCCCGGTGAGGAAGCCCTGGTCAAACCAGGCTTTCGGAAGGACACGAATAGGGCTCTGCCCTGATCTTCCTCCCATCACGCCTGCCTCCTCGCTATTTCTCGCTGTCTTTCCCTCTCTCACACTCGGCCAGGCCTTCGTGGAGGCCAGAGGTCATGCCCTGGGACTCAGCATTCCGAGTTTCATCCTAGTTTCTGATCTTATTTCTGGACACACGTGGAGGAAATTGACAGATGGTGGCCTGGGTGCCCTTGTGGGGAGCAGATATGAGTCTCATAGAGCAGGAGGCCGGTGCAGGGGGCTTATTAGAATTCAGATCCGGCATCTAACAGGGAAATGGCTCTGGGCCATGTCCTGTTGGCAGGTTTGGACAGCAAGCTCTCTGCTGCCTTTCACCTAGGAGAGCTGGAGTCATTCTATGGCAAGACCCAGATTAAAGCAACCTGTCAAGTGAGGGCATTGTGAAACATGAAGTCTAGTGTTTACTCACCCCTGACCAGGGAGGCTCAGTTGGTTGGAGCATCCGGGCCCGTGCACCAGAGGGCTGTGGGTTCAATTCCTGGTCAGGGCACAACGCCCAGGTTGCAGGGTTGATCCCGAGGGGAGCACGTTCAGGAGCCAACCAATCGGTGTTTCTCTCATTGGTGAAAAAATTGGCCCCTCTTCCTACTTAAAAAAAAAAAAAGTTTCAGGTATACAGCACCATAATCCAACATCTGTATACACTACAAAGTGATCACCCCAAAGTCTAATTACTACCCGTCACCATGCAGGTAACTCCCTTTAGCCCACTGCACCACCTCCCCCTTCCCTCTGGTAACCACCAATCTGTTCTGTGTATCTATGAGTTTTTTGTGTTTATTTTTTTTATTTTATTTTTTATACTAGAAGCCCATTGCACGAAGATTCGCACAATAGGCCTTCCTTCCCCTGGCTGCTGGCATCAGTTTTCCTCCGGCACCCAGGACCCAGGCCTTTGGTCGGCCGCAGTGGAGAAGCCAAGCCTCGAGGCTAGGCTTTTCCCCTCTGGCCACAGCGAGGCTTGGCTTCTCCGCTGCAACTGCAGTCTTCAGTCTTCACTCT